CTTAGTTGCTTTCTAAATCCTCGATTAGTCATGGCTAAGATTTCATTAAGGTCGAAAGTACCAACACTGTTACTAGAGTAGGTGTTTTCGGAAGAAGAAGGATAGTCGTTCTTCTTTCCTTTCCAACCACTGTTGCTATCGTTACCAACCTTGGCCTTTTTGTTGCTTGGAGGAACATGGAGGTGACTTGAATTAATGAGATCTTGAACGCGATCTTTGAGGATGAAGCATCCTTCGTTAGTGTGATCATGGCCTCTATGATGTTAATAATGAGAACGCTATTCGATAACCATTATCCAGTCTCTTAATCCTTTTATTGCACCCATAAGCGTGACAATGATATTTCGTAATTCCTGAACATCCTCTTCTAGACTTGACGAGCTTTCACTAGTATTACTTAAGAAAATTTCTTTTTCGTCGGCCATTATTACAACCCTTTTTGTGAAAAGTGATGCTTTATCAAAATTTTTGTCTTGGTTAAGTGCTCTTCTCTCCTTGATCAAATGCTGAGGAAAAGGAAGTTAGGAGTAAGTTTCTCTTTTTTATTATTTATTTTGACTTAAGCTCTATTCAACATGGAAGAAAATGTGGAAGAGAATGGGAATAGATTGGACCCCCCCACTCGAATGACGGAAGACACGCGCATACAAGACTTTCTTAACATGGTCAAAGTGTACTTAAATAGTAGTGTGTTCTTAATATTTTGAGTGCAAGTGACATGCTTTGACTCTTGTGTAAGACCATGGGACTTAGTGCCTAGACTCAATTAAGGACTTAACGAGGTATTATTGTTAATAAAATAATCGAATTGATTAGCAAACTGTTTAATTAGACACATAGTGATTACTCAAGCAACATACCGAACTGTCGCCAAAGCAACAGGACTTTGTAGTGTAGCGCCAGATGACATAGCTGTCGCCTGGCCCTACACAACACAGTGTGGCGCTGCAGTCCAAATCGTGGCGCCATTGCTGGGACATTGATATGGGATTGCTTTTGGTATTATTACTCTACAGGGCATGCCTAAAGTCGTACGAGTCAATTCTGATTAAATTATTAGACTTTAATTACTCTAATTAATTAGGCAAAGTCCTTTTAGTCATTAATCAGTTTATTTAATCTTAAACACAAGTAAAAAAAAACGTTCAAGAAAAACACATAGAGTATGCACAACAAATAATGCACAATTAGTCAAGTAGGCACAATATGATGCAATGAGTTCGCAACCTAACCATGGCTCTAGTTCTCTAAAGTTCAGGATATGGGTTAGCCAAAGAGGGTCCATGGTTAATTGTTCGGATGCACCGCGTGGAAGCCTTACCTTTTGAAGGGTTGGCGCAAGTGAATGGGACACCGCGAGTTAAAAACTCGCTTCCATGGTTTGGTGAATTCAACATTCTCGGATGTACCCTTTGTTGCACAGAGCGTTCAATCAGGTAGATGGAGCATCAATTCACCGAGGGTTATGTCCATATGTAGAACACATATGGGTTTCAGAAAAGTGAGAAAAACTCAATAAGGAAGTACGATCTAGCAAACAGTGCTAAAAATTGGTCAAAATTAGAACGCATATTTTTGGCTCGATATTAGAAGAACTTGGCGCCAGCGAACAGAGACCGGTGCCGAATTGGCTCTGGCGCCTGGCGACATGGGTGTTTCCTGGCGCCAGAGTCAAATTCTCGGCGACATACTCTGTTTTTTGATGCTAGTTCCTACATGCCTCAGCAGCTTTCTGTGCTCGATAAAATTTTCAGTTTCGCACATCATTATTTCGATCCTAGGTGTGAAAGATATTCCTCAAATTTCCTACGTGTAAAAAATCCTATGTTTTTAACTCATTACGGATGGTCTTTCCAATGAGATCTTTTTTACGCATATTACAATAATGTTGATCAAAATTACGCACATGAAGTACTTAGAACTTTTGGAGTCTCGTCCACTCATTCTAAAGCATTGCCAAAATAAATTTTAGGAAATAAATAGAAATCCTCCCCAGTGGAGTCGCAATAAACTGGAAGGAATATTTCAAGCATTACCCCAAACTTGAACCCTACTGTGATCATACACTTAAGCATGGTGGCGTCCAAAGGGAGAAAAGATAGAGCAAAAGAGTCACCAACAAGTTTTAGGAACTTGTAAACCGTTCACGAGGTAAAGGTTACACCTCTTAACGATCCATGGGATCGTTAAGTCCAATAGGTCTGGAACCATGACTGGTAGTTTGAGGATGAAGGTACAAATCCAATCTAAAAGATATTGAACTTGCCCTAATAATAGACCTCTACTTTATTCTGATCGTATTCATGTGCGCTTTCTGACTAACATGCAATCAATAGGATTGACCGTATACCAATTTAATATATGTTGGTTGAATATTAATGCACAAATAAAACTATTATTGGCGATCACTTGAATTATAATCAAATTAACCTTAAACAAGTTATTAATTATCTTATTAAGCTTGATTACAAGTACAAATTCTTTTTAAACATGTATAAAAGGCGTGATCAAGCAATGACAATAAATATATATCAAGGAACATAATAATAATCATAAATAATAATAATAATAATCATCATCAAGAAATAATCATGTTAAAGCATAATATTATCAAGATCCTAGGCATGATACTAACAAGATTAATAACAAACCCTTGCATGTCACTAAACATATAAAGATCAAAGCTTTAGCCCTAACATGGTACTAACATGAATATTAGGGAAAAAAAATAGGAAGCGTCGCAGAAATCATAATAATCATATTTGATATTAGAAATTATAGTTGTTACCGTAAACATGATACTAGGAATCATAATAACAACCTAGACATGATTTCTATATCATAATATCAATATATCAATTAAATCACTTACTTGGATGCCTCGTATCTCTTTCTAATAACAAAATACACACGTTAGTTAATGTAAGGAAAATAATAAAATTAAAAAATTAAATTAAATAATTGAAAAGAGAGATTTGGGACCAAACCCTCAGAAAAATCAAATCTTTCACGTCTAGGGCGAAGGCATTTTCGAACTTTGTTAGGTGTGTCTAGATCTTGTAAATGCGGAATTTTGTATGCAAAAAGCTAGTTTAGAAAAGAGAGAGAGAGAGTAATCAAGAGATTCTTGATGAGAGTTGGTGATGTAAAACGGAGGTTTTAGGAGGCTATTTAAATAGAAAATAAGCCAGATGTGATAAAAAAAACGAATCAGATTTTCGAAAAGAATAAAACACAACCGCAGTGTTAAACACGCGCGTGGCGCCAAACGCTGGAAAAATTTTTTCACGCGTTTTCTTAATTTGATAAAATTTAGCCGTATGAGAGGGCAAAATCGTATTTCCATTAATAACACTTCTTTTATTCTGATTAAAACTCTTAAAAGTTAACTAAAGTCAATTTATCAATGCTAATTATATTAGGAATGAAAAAAACCTTTTAGAAGAATCTAGAAGACTATAATCAATTCTAATTGCATTAGGAATGATAAATCAATATTAGGCTCTCCTCCAAATCATTGGGCTGCATATAAATATCAAACCGGGCCAAGTTTAGTAATTCGGCCATAACTTCCTCATTATTCATCGGAATTGGGCTTATAATATATTGTTGGAAAGCTCATTTCGAACCTGACCCAACTACTTCATCATTGGACCCTTGCCATGGACTAAACCAAAATGGATTGACTATTTTCTTAGAATAGGTTTTCAAAAACAGAGAGAAAGAAAATAAATAAAAACTAACCGCAACACTAGACTTTCCACACTTTCACTTAATTCGATTATGATTCGACGTGAAAGGTACTCATCACTGGATTTGGTTTTGCGGAGACACAAATGGGTGTCTACACTTATTAAGCGTGATTACAAGTACATATTCCTTTTAAACATGCATAAAAGTGTGATCAAGTAATAACAATAATAATATATCAAGCAACATAATAATAAACAAATTATATGTAAATTATTCGTTAATTAACAAATAAAATGAAATAATTTGTAAATTAACAAATAAAAAAGTTACATTAAATAATTCATAAATTAAACAATTGCGTGAAACAATTCGCTAAAATTATATAATTCGACAAAACAATAATCATCATCATTATCATAATCATAATCTTAATAAAGCATAATATTAATTGCAAGATCCTAGGCATGATATTAACATGATTAATAACAAACCCTATCATGTCACTAAACATTAAAGATTAATTAGCCCTAACATAATACTAACATTATATAAGGAAAGAAAATAGGAAGCATTCTTTTAATCATACTTGATATAACCAATAAACTTATGTTTACCCTAAACATCATACTAAGAAAAGCATCCTAAACATGATACTAGAAATGTTAGTTATTACCCTAAACATGATACTAGGAATCAATAAAATATCTTAACATGATACTATGAATCAACAAAATAATCTAAGCATGATTTTTTATCAAAATATCTATAAAACAATTAAATTACTTACTTCGATGCCTCATACCTCTTTCTAATAAAAAAATACACACGTTAGTAAATTCAAGGAAAATAATAAACAAACAATTAAATTAAATAATTGAAATATATATTTGGGACCAAACCCTCAGAAATTATCAACCTTTCATGTCTAGGGCGAAGACAACTTCGAACTTGGCTAGGTGTGTCTAGAACTAATGTATGAGGAATTGAGTAAAAGGGAAGGTTTAGAAAAAGAATAGACAGAGAGAAAGAATAAGCTTCTAGCTTTTAGAGAGAGAATGAGATTATGATTGTAAATGATTGTAGATTCTTGATAGATTTCCTTCCATCTGATAATGTTTTGCCAAAAAATACATATAGGGCAAAAAAAAAATTATGCACAATGGGTTTGCGTTATGAAAAAATTCATGCGTGCTCTAACGATTGCATACTTTATCGAAATGAAAATGAATCAGCAAAGAGTTGCCCAGAGCGTAATCTCTCAAGGTAAGGTTTTGTGATATTTTCCAATTATTCCTAAGTTTAAACGGATGTATTCAGACCCGGTAGATGCAGAGAAGTTGACATGGCTTAAATTTGGTCGGAAAAAGGATGGGTTACTTAGACACCCGGCTGATTCACCGCAATGGAGATTTATTGATCGACAATTCCCTGATTTTGGTAGTGAAGAACGAAACCTACACCTTGGGTTGTCTACTGATGGTATGAATCCATATAGTTCCCTTAGTAGCATCCATAGTACATGGCCGGTCATGTTAGTGGCTTATAACTTACCTCCTTCGTTATGCATGAAAAGAAAGTACATTGTGTTGTCAATGCTTATTTCTAGACCTAAACAAACAGGAAATGACATCGATGTGTATTTGGCACCTCTCATTGACGACTTAAAGTTGTTGTGGGAAGAAGGTGTAGAAGTGTTTTATGCTAATCGGAATGAAATGTTCAATTTAAGAGCAATGTTATTTTGCACCATACAAGATTATCCAGCATATGGTAATCATTCTAGCTATTCTGTAAAAAGGGAAGGTGGTTGTCCTCTATGTGATGATGGTTGGAAAGGTAAATGGTTATCGGCATCTAGAAAGACGGTCTACTATGATCATCGTCCATTTCTTCCTTTGGATCATAAGTATCGTCAAATGAAGAAAGCTTTTAATGGGGAACAAAATTTTGAAAGTCGCCCAAAAGCCTTTACTAGCCAAGAAGTATTTGAAAAGGTGAAAGACATTCAACTTACTTTTGGAAAGTTAAAGAAAAATAAAGATGCCATTCCTAAGAAAGGGTACAAGAAGTGTTATGATTTTTAGCGTCCTTGTTATTGGAGATTTCTCTTTGTCCAACATTCTCTGGATATTATGCATATCGAAAAGAATGTGTTTGATAGTTTGATTGGCACACTATTGAAAATATCAGGGAAGATAGAAGACGGTGTTAATGCTCGACTTGACTTGAAGGAAATGAATATGAGAAATGAGCTCCATGCCGTTGAGACTGGAAAACTGGACTATTTGCCACCAGCTGCTTATACACTGTCTAAGAAGGAAAAAGTTGAGCTTTGTGCATCCTTAGCTGGAGTTAAAGTGCCTGAGGGTTATTCTTCAAACATTTCTTCTCTTGTTTCAATGGAGAATTTGAAACTCGTGGGTTTGAAGTCTCATGACTGTCATGTTCTTATGCAAGATCTCTTACCTATTGCTATTCGTTCAATTTTGCCAAAAAAATGTACGATATACCATTATTAGGTTATGTCTTTTCTTTAAGGAAATCTACAGTAAAGTCATCAATCCAAAAGATTTGGATTCCTTAGAAACTGAAATTGCCGTTATTTTGTGTCAATTAGAGATGTACTTTCCCCCAGCTTTTTTTGATGTAATGATACATTTGCCGGTTCATTTGGTAAGGGATATTAGATTTTTTGGTCTCGTGCACAATAAAGCTCAATGGGCCTTCGAAAGACAAATGAAAACTTATAAGGGGTATGTTAAGAATGCTTATCGACCTGAGGCTTGTATCGCTGAGAGAATGCTTTATGAGTTAGCTATGGAATATTGCCTTAAAAGTTTAGGAAATATGAGGACAATAGGTATTTCTACTTCTCGACAGTAGGGATTTCTACTTCTCAACACAGTGACACACTTGAGGGTAAGGGAACCATAGGTCGTAGAGAACTTGACTTGTCTCCTGAAAAGTGGCACATGGCCCACACATATATTCTTTTCAATGAAGATGAAATTACACTGTATATTAATAGACATATGACTTTTTTGAAGATTCATACTCGAAAGGCTAGCTCCAAATCTTTGGCTACTGAACAAAGTAAAACATTTCATCTTTGGCTCAAGGATCAAGTATTGAAAGAGATAAAAAATTCCACACAAACTGTTTCTAACCGACTTAGGAGTTTAGCTAATGGTCCTGAATTCTCTGCCTCATTTTTCTCTAGTTATGCCATTAATGGCTACACTTTTAAAACTAAGGACCAAGATGATAAAAGCACTATGCAAAACAGCGGGGTATGTGTTGAAGCGGAAGCGATGCATTTGTCTAGTGCTAAAGATAATCGATCTGTTTATAGCAAAATGCAATACTATAGGGTAATTGAAGAGATATGTGAGTAGCATTATATGGGTTTTTCGATACCTTTTTTTGGTTGCAAATGGGCTGACAACAATAACAATGTTGTATGCGATGGTTTAGGGCATACTACTATGAATCTCAACAAGATAGGTCATACAGAAGATCCATACATTTTGGCTAGTCAAGCTAAACAAGTGTTTTATGTTACTGACCTGTGTGATAAAAGAAAATTAGTTGTCACATCGAAACCTCGATATGTCATTGATGACAATATTTTTTATCAGGAGAGGTCTACCCCTAGTGAGGTACAAAATGTGGATGATAGTCTTGATGATACAACAACATACATACGTAGTGATCATGAAGAAGGGATTTGGCATGACAAAAAAAATAGTAATGCTAATAATCGACCTAAAAAGCGGCGTCGCACAGGTTATTATGCTACTAAAAAATCTGATTCTTGTGGTTCTTGTATTGAAATTTATAATCTGTTCTTGATATAAAGTTTTTAGACAGATGCTTTATTTTATTTGGTTTTAATGACACTTCTTAGAGATGATTTCTAATATATTTGTATGTTTGCAAGTTGATGTCAAAAAAGAGAAAGCAAGCAAGTGCTGAAGAATCTGCTGAGTATGAGAATCGAAGGGGTCGTACAGTTGCTGCAATAGTTGGAAAAACAATTCTGAGTGGCATCCAAATCCCCTTGGAATGGAATCACAATAAAGTGCCAATTGGGGAAAATAGATATATCTTTTCATCATACATTGGTGCGTGTAGTTGTTCGTGTAAGAGTGAATATAAATTATCACGACTGGGAAGAAGTTTCGAAAGAATTTATTGATTACCTCTTTAAATTCATTACGGTAAGATTAAAGGCTTTTTAATTACTTCCATGATCATGAGTTAGTTGCAGAATTGGAGAATACTTTGACTATCTGTTGTTTGTAGACTGTGAATTGGAGAATCTCGTAGGGTTGGATTTCTTTTGTTTTTTTTCCCCATGAAATTCCCATATCTTCTTAATGCTAACACAATGATTTATACTTTGTGCCTTTTAGTGAAATTTTAATAAATCTAGTTCATTCCAATGCCATTGCCACCATTGAGTCTGACCGCATGTAATGACTGGTAGCTAATAGCCATTGTGATGTTATTTCTTATCTCTTGACTGGAAATACAGTCACATGTGCCATGTTTGAATATAGCTACAAGTAATTGTGGTTTCTATACCTGCTGTAATAACTTGCCAACAATAAGAGCTCCCTCCACACCAACTTTTTTTAGCAATGGTGTAAACAGGGGTCTGCAATATAATGATAAATGGAATCATTTAGGATGATAGTATTGATAAAATCTAATCTGTCAGAGATAATAATATATTCATCCATGCTCCAATTGTAGCAGCAACACGAGGAACAGGCCTTTTATGCATGGCAAGCAATTTTAGAGCATATGTCCTGATAGAAAACTCTAATTTAAATTACTCACCACAACAGCAAAACCAAAAGTGAGGGATTAATCTGATATATCAAAAGCTACATTTTTTTTTGGAATTCTATCAAAAGCTACATTACTAAGCCACTCAAAAACAAATAAAGTAAGCTTGTAATAAAAAATTACAAGTATTACCAGTTTTAATCTGATGTTTTGACTCACCAGTTTATCTGATGTTCTGACTCACATAGTGAAGGATTGTTGTGCTTGTTTGTGTTCATCCCACTTGTATGCTTATATGTAAAGAAGTACAGGAGGCTATTATGCATACGCATGCTGGGATGATTCTTCCCACTTGTTTGTCCAGTGATGTGATTGGTGGGAACTGAAGGCTGCTGAAGCTAAAGCTATCTAGTGGGGTTTACAGTTTGCTAGAGAGGCTGGCTGATGAAAATAATCATAGAGTGATTCACAGTTGGTTATCCAGGCCTTGAAAACAGCTCGGAAGGAAGGAGTTCGTTCCATTTAATCATTGATGAGTTTCTAGTCCGTTCCATTTCATCATTGATAATATTATAGATGTAGCTCAATCTGATTTATCTACATAATTTCTCCCTTGATGGGGTTCCTAAAAAAAAGGAAAAAAAAAAGAAAATCAAGACTGTAGTGTGGCTTCCAGAGAATGATCAAGCCTCATAAAAGCTTGTTTATTCGAATTCAGGTATTGTTTTGATATATGAATTTAGGTATTGTCATATCTAATATCTTTTATTTGAATTGTGCATAGAGGATTTATAGTGCCGAAAGAGCATAGAAATTACGTATTAGGGAGAGCTTCAATCCGGTGGAGAGCTTTCAAGGCCAGATTAAGAAAGGATTGGATGTACGACACCAAGGGAGTAAATCCAAATGTGATTATAAAGAATCCACCTTCGATATATCCATTTATAACACAAGTGATTAGACCAAGTTCATTGAAACGTATACTGATGATGCGTTTAAGGTAATCTTTGAATTATAGCCCATAACTAATCATAGTTATGAAATAACCTTTGAAAACTGGGAATTAATTGTTTGTACATTATTATATTGAAAGGAACTAAGTGACAAGAATCGAGAGAGGGCGAAAATGAACACTTCAAGATATCGAGGAGGTCGAAAAGGGTACATGTATTATGAACAAGATATTGTAAGTTTAGAAATGATTATGTTAGATTTTTTTTGTTGATTTTTTTAAGGAATAACAGTAAATAATCAATTAAGGGGTGACTTTAGTTGTTAAATGGCATTGTGTTATTTATATTGTCAGGTTGCTGAACTGAAATGATTATGTCAGATTTTTTGTTGATTTTTTTTAGGAATAACAGTAAATAATCAATTAAGGGATAACTTTTAGTTGTTAAATGGCATTGTGTTATCTGTATTGTCAGGCTGCTGAACTTCAAAAACAAGGAGTGCAAGTTAGGGACGTGCCTCGACATTTGGTTTGGATAAGAGCTCATTCCAGACAAAAAGATGGTGCAATGACCTTTGACAATCCTGCTGATTTTGAAATAGCTCAAACAATTGTGAGTTTGTTTCTACTTTTGAATCAAATAAATTATTTGGCTATAATAGATTACACTACCTTAATTAGGTTGTTTATTATTTATGTCAGAAAGCATTGGAGGCTCAACAAATCCAAGGAGAAATTGAGGCCACTGGCCGGAATGATATCCTAGTGAGAGCATTAAAGAATCCTGAACATGGTGGTTGTGTTAGGCGCGTTGGGTCGGGTGTTACAAATAAGATGTACTTTGGCTACAACAAACCATTACTAAAAAGTCAATTGCAATCAGATCTTAAGTGTCTCAAATCAAAATTAGAAAATGTGGTTAACACAAAATTTTTTGTTGTCTTACTTAATGTCAAGTGGTTAGGTTAACGCGGAGCAATTGAAAGAACTTGGTGATTCAAATGGACACCAAGTTGCCCACCAGTTAGCGGGTATCCAAGCTGGTGGATCTGGTGGCCAAGATTTAGATGGCCTTGTCTTGGGTCCTGACAGTTGGCTTCAAGGTCTTAGCTTCCAACTTGCCTCAGAGCAAAACAAAGTTACCCATCAGTTAGCAAGTGTCCAAATGGGTGGTTCTGGTGGTGAAGAGTTAGATGATCATTAAGATGTCTTTGGCTCAAAAAGTGACCAAGGGGTTCAAGGTTTCAACTTCCAAGAGCAGAATGTTTAAGCGTTTGAGGTTCAACCCGAGCCATACCATGTTGTGTGGCCTGAGGAGGAATATGTGCTAGAAAATGAGAATTTGGAAACGCATGTACTCAATAATGATCAAGACATTACTGGCCAACCATTTCCAAAGGTAACATTATTTCATAATACTTATGTTTGATGTAAGTACATATGTCCTAGACTACTACATCTTATCAATCCACAAAAGGTTTATTAATACCATAATCCATATTTAGGGAGTTGATAGTCTTTGTTCCTTGGCAATTAAGAGTGACAAAGGGGTCGATATAGTTGCTATTGGAGAAGTGTATGTTGGGATGGAAGGAGAAGTTGTCAAGTATCATTTCAAGCCCGTCCCAAGTGGTCATTATCGAGTTTGTGTTGAAGAAGAAATCAACCGGTAGGGAATATTTCAAGTGTTAATCCCCTAGCTTGAACCCCACTGTGATCATACACTTAAGTACGGTGGCGTCCAAAGGGAAAGAAGATAAAGCAAAAGAGTCGCCAACAAGTTTTTTAGGAACTTGTAAACCGTTCACGAGGTGAAGGTTACACCCCTTAACGATCCAAGAGATAATCAACTCCATAAGGTCTTGAACCAAATAGGGTTCGGGGATGAAGGTACAAATCCAACCTAAAAGAGATTGAACCTGACCTAATAATAGGCCTCTACTTTATTCTGATCGTATTCATGTGCGCTTTCTAACTAACATGCAATCAATAAGTTTACCCTAAACCTGTTTATCTATGTTGGTTGAATATTAATGCACAAATAAATCTATTATTAGCGATCACTTGAATTATATTCAAATTAACCCTAAACAAGATTATTAATTATCTTATTAAGCGTGATTACAAGTACAAATTCCCTTTAATCATGCATAAAAGGCGTGATCAAGCAATAACAATAAATATCAAGCAACATAATAATAATCATAAAAATAATAATAATCATGATAATGTTAAAGCATAATAATAGCAAGATCCTAGGCATGATACTAACAAGATTAATAACAAACCCTAGAATGTCACTAAGCAATAAAGATCAAAGCTTTAACCTTAACGTGATACTAACAATCATAAATATTAGGAAGAACATAAAAGGCATCATACTTTTAATCATACTTGATATTAAAGTTACCCTAGACATGATATTAGGAATTTATTGTTGTCACCCTAAACATCAAATTAAGGAAAACATCCTAACATGATACTAGGAATCATAATAACAATTTTAAGCATGATTTCTACATGATAACATCAATAAAAACCATTAAAGCACTTACTTGGATGCCTTGTACCTCTTTCTAATAACAAAATACATACGTTGGTAACTTTAAGGAAAAAAATAAATAACAATAAAATTAAATAATTGAAATAATGATTTGGGACCAAACCCTAAGAAATTAAACCTTTCACGTCTAGGGCGAAGGCAACTTCGAATATAGCTAGGTGTTTCTAAATCTAATGAATGCGGAATTTTTATATTTGAGAGAAGGCTAATTTAGAAAAGAGAAAGAGAGAGTCATCAAGAGAATCTTGATGAGAGTTGGTGAATGAGAGAATTGGTTCCTCAAAACGGAGTTTTTAGCACGTTATTTATAGAGAAAATCAGCCAAAAAGGTAAAACATCAAAACAGAGTTCTGACGCGAAAAGCCAGATTAGCGCCAAACGCTGACCTTAGCGCCAGGCGCCAAGCGTAGCGTCAGGCGCTACAGCTGGCGTTTGGCGCTAACTCATAAATTCACGCGTTTTCTTAAAATCAGATAGAAATTTCTGTACAGGAAGATAAAATCGTATTTTCCTCAAAAACGTTTTTTTATTCTGATTAAAACTCTAAA